TTTTAGTATGAGAGAAAGTGGAGAAGAAAATAAATATACTTTTACATGTCTGTCTGCCTAGGCACTTTCTGCACTTAAAAACATGTCATTGAAGTTGAAGTGATAATCATAACAGTACTGGCATCCAAACATCCCAGGAGAGCCAAAAAAGGAGGGAGCTTTGTTGATTCATATCAAACCAGTTCTAGCAGTTTTCATATCTACCAACAGCTTATCCTGTAAAGGAGTTTGACTGATTTCCTCATATATTTAGCTGTATTTCAGTATATCCAGTGAGTATATATAAGAGATCATGTTAGTCCCAGTGAAAAGGATTGGAGGCAGAAGATTCAGAAAAGAAACACATTTATGGGAGTCCTAGTTTGAATCTGTAGTCAGTAGTACCACTGGACCACCACCACTGCTGGGCGGATTGTCTGCCTGATCCTAATGGCAGGCCAGGAGGAGAACAAACTGGAGCATCAGACCTGCACATGTAGAGACTGCCAACTATAACCTTAATTATGCCCATAATATCTCAACTAGAGGGAGGCTGTCATAATTAAAAGAGTAGTGCACATAACTCATATGAGCAGGCAGATAGCTTGCTGAACAACTAACAAGCTAATAGGGAATGGGTGCCACCAGTTGAATCCTACCAACAAAAACTTCCCTTACACCATTCTTCCCCCGACCCCCACCCCAAAAAGCCCCTGAAGACAGTTCTGTCAGTAGCTGAATATAGTTGTGAAATCAGGTTGCAGCCGGGGAAGACTGGAAGTAGGACCATTCTATCAATCTTGGTAAAAGAACAGTTTCATCAGACTCCTCTTCCTATCTTCTTTCCATTCCAACTGCTCGAAAGCTACCATTAAGAATCTATGCCTAGTTTTGCTCTTCCTCCCAATCCTTTCTTCTTCTCCATTGTAAGCTGGCTGCAGGTTGTATGCAATTGTACAAACTATACATAAACCACACCAGGAGATTTTGGAGCTGAATGGGGTGGGGTGGGATGCTTTAAATATATACATAAATTTCAAATGCTAGGGCTCGACTCTCATCACTGCCTATCTATTGTGAATGCAATATTTATAATACAAGATTAGAAACCATTGCACGTGTCAGGTTGAATGAAAATAAAGCTTTCAAGGTCACAGAATGGCAAAAGGAGCAAATGAAATTATAGCTGTATTGAAGTGAGTAAAGCTCTAATTCAATTCAGTGTTTATAATATAAAAATATACTTCTGTGCAGTTTAAGAAAAAAGTCTTGCTTTATGAGAAACAGAAAGCAGTTTCTATTACCCATTTTATGAAAAAAAAGTCAATAAAAATTGACGTTTTCTTTTAATTCTTTCTTTATCTTCTACCATCAGTTCAGGAAATACTCATTCCACTTGTTTGCTCTAGGCTAACCTTGTCATTACTGAAACTGATCACACAGTAGATGCAAAAAGGAAAAGAGTTCTTTTGATATCATTTCAGTTCATAGGGTAGATTTGTAAGCATTCCAGCAGCTAGCTATCTGTAAAGTCATTTAGTAAAATGAAGTTTACAGGCTATGAACCCAACAGATTTAATTCCAGAAGAACAGTCCTTTACTAATATTAGTGAAAATATTACTTTCCAGTTTCCTAAGAACATAAAAAGAGCCCTGCTAGATCAGGCCAAAGGCCCATCTAGTCCAGCTTCCTGTATATCACAGTGGCCGCACCAGATGCCTCTGGGAGCACACTAGACCAGAAGTCCCCAACCTTGGGAAAGATCTTTATTGGAAAATCTGGTATATCACTGATATGTCTATCAGTGCAGACATTACTGAATCAGATTGACTAATAATCTATACTGGTTTAACAGAGTTTCCTCTCTTTTCCTCAAATCCAAAATTCCAGATTAGAATGAAAGACAAATGCTGGATGGGGTTCAAAAGTCAAGTTTAATATCATTTCTTGAAATCATACACCCCCATCATGGCTTGTAACATGTGATAGACTTTTCCTCCACGAATCTGTTCAATCCCGTTTTCAAGGCATCTAGATTGACTTTCATTGAGCTGTCCACCAGCAACACCAAGATCTCTTTCCTGATCGGTCATGGATGGCTCAGAACATATCAGCTGATAAATAAAGTTTTGATTTTTTTTGCCCCAATGTGCATTACTTTACATTTTCTTATATTAAAATGCATTTGCCATTTTGCTGCCCATTCTCCCAGTCTGGAGTGATCCTTCTGGAGTTCTTCACAATCCCTTCTGGTCTTCACCACCCAGAAATGTTTCGTGTCATCTGGAAACTTGGCCACCTCACTGCTTATCCCTGTCTCCAGGTCATTTATGAACAAGTTGAAAAGCACCAGTCCCAGGACAGATCCCTGGGGTACATTGCTTTTCACCTCTCTCCATTGTGAAAACTGCCTATAAGATTAAGATCAATTTATTGTCATTGAACATATATATACCATATACACATACAACGAAATTCACTCAGAGACCAGACCAAAACACACACACACACCGTCATAACGATTCCTAAGTCCCAAAACCCCACCCAAGAGTTCACAGTATCCACACAACATACAACAGACCAAGTAATAGTAATACAGTCATACAACTCCCTGCTGATTATTCTTGTTCCTTGTTAAGTGCAATTATAGCTCTAGGATAAAAACTATTGACACCTACTCTCTGTTTCCTGATTCTCAACCAATTTTCAATTCATAAGAGGACTTGCCCTCTTATTCCCTGACTGTGGAGTTTTCTCAGCAGCCTTTGATAAGGTCAAACGCCTTCTGAAAATCCAGATAGACAACATTTATTTATTTATTTATTTATTTATTTATTTATTTATTTATTTATTTGATTTTTACCCCGCCCCTCTAGTTCATCCAGCCTTCCTCCGCCGACAGTGGTTTCGCCGGCAGCCGGCAAGACTAGGTGAGTTCCCAGATGGCGGTTTTGGCAGCAGTGGGGTGGTTTGGGATGCGGTGGGGCCCATGCAGTGACAGGGAAGGTCTGGTGAGCTCCCGGTCAGCAGTTTTGGCGGCAGGGTGGTTTCAACAGGGGCAGGGCCCGCACAGCAGCGGGGAAGGCCAGGTGAGCTCCCAGATAGCGGTGTCGGTGGTGGCGGGGTGGTTTTGTTGGCAGCGGGGAAGACCGAGTGAGCTCCCGGAGGGCTCTCGCTGATGTCGATTTTGGGAGGCTTCCCAGCCTTCCTTCACCGCCGCGTAGGCTTCACCGCCGCCGAGAACGCCATCAGTGGGAGCCATCCAGTAGCTCACCCGGCCTTCCACCGCTGCCTGGACTGGGCTCCACCACCGCTGTCCAGCCGGGATGGGTCCTCGCCTCCTGGCCAGGATCTGGTTTCCAGAGTCCAGCCAGGAGCCAGAGCCCAGTGGGATGGCCCCTCGCCTCCCAGCCGGACCCCCACCATCCCCTCGTGGCACAGTGGTTAAACTGCTGTACTGCAGCCAAAACTGTCCTTCCTAGGTAGTTAAAATGAGGCCCCAGGTTGGGGGGGGGGGGGGCAATGTGTAGCCTGCATAATTAACTTGTAAACCGCCCAGAGAGTGCTTGAAGTGCTATGGGGTGGTATATAAGCAGCATGCTTTGCTTTGCTTTGCTTTCCCTAACCGTTGGGGTGAAAGAGCTACAAAGAAGAAGCCTCTTTACCACCAACAGTTAGTTTTTTTGAATTTCCCGGCCCTTTCCCCTGCCTTTTTGTGTTTGTAGGTCAAAGCTCCGGCTGCAGGTCAAAGCAAAATTTTGCAGCTGGAGCTGTTCGTAAGCCAATTTGTTCGTAGGTCAGGGTGTTCGTAAGTCAAGGCACCACTGTATCCATATACAGTAATACTCCTGTGGAATGCATGATAGTAACGAGACATGGCAACAAATGAAAAACAAGTCACAATATTCATTAAAAATTGCTTATTTTTAGATGTTATCCTCCCTAAAGTCACATCATAGATTCCATTTGCAGCCAGTTATTTCAATATTCTTGGCTATTTATTTGACCTGAACATTTGAAGGTTTTCAAATTAATAAAGTATTCTATGCCTATTTCTCTATCAATCTCAAACTGGAATCCTCTCCCCTCTACTTCTACTTCACTTTTGCATGATTATAGACTGGCTTTTGTGAAAACACCAAGCCAAAGTAAGAATAGATCACTTCTGCCTTTTTTTTGTCATCTATCATTTTTCATCTCCATTGAGTAACTGAGCCACTATTTCTTTTCTGTCTTTTGCTACGTACATATCTGAAGAATGCATTTTTGTTGCTTTTAGCATTCTTGTAACCTTAACTCATTCTTAGCTATTGTCTTCCTCATTCTATCCTTACAATTTAAATATTGAAGGAAACGTTTGTTCTTGTTTGACACTGTTTGTGGTTTTACCACCTTCTCCCATAAAGCCTGTTACATTGCAAAGTTCTTGAGCACCTGACTTGGCAGACAGTCATATGTATAAAAGTAGAACCTGTATTACATATTACAGCATATGTTTCTGTTAATGAGTTAATCCTTCTAGCTATTCGTTTTTATGTGTTCCTGAAGTTAAAAAGGGAGACACAAAGTGGTATGCAATTGCCTTGTATGCTAAACCAACATGACTATAGCTTGATTCATCATTTCTTAGATCAGGAACAGGCAACCTCTGGCTCTGCAGCTATGTCAACTGCTTTAAGGTATGATGGGACATATAATCTGACATCTGGAATGTCACAGGCTGTCCATGCTTCATAGACAGGTATAGAGAATACCTTGTGGATGTTGCAGGACTACAATTTTCAATCACTGCAACTGGCAATGTTGATGGGATTTGGAGACCAACATCTGGATGACTGCAACTTTCCAATAAGAAGTGATGGGAAAGATCTCTATTGGAAAATCTGGTATATCACTGATATGTCTATCAGTGCAGACATTACTGAATCAGATTGACTAATAATCTATACTGGTTTAACAGAGTTTCCTCTCTTTTCCTCAAATCCAAAATTCCAGATTAGAATGAAAGACAAATGCTGGATGGGGTTCAAAAGTCAAGTTTAATATCATTTAAACTGATTATGTTAGAAGCAATTTCAATCACTCCTTGTCCAATGGAGAACAGCCTTTTCAACAACATAAATATTCCAGCCTGTTGTATTTGTATCCATACCTGCCAATGGCTAAAGGAGAATAAATTAGGGACTGGGAACATTGATTTTCCAATTGTTGTTGGATCATAACTCCCATAATCCTGAGTTAGTACAGCCAAAAGTGAGGAATCATATGGCTCACAGTCCAGCTTCTGGGCAGCAACCTATTCCCCATTCTTGACACAAATGTACTTGCCTCTTAATTTAAAAGACCAGTTTCTACATGAGGAATAGAAAACCTGTATCCCTCTATATCCAGGTGAGCAGTTTCCCTGAATCTGTAGGGCCATATTTGCCCTACCCTGGCTTTGGACAGCCACACACACCCTCCAACACTCCCAAACATTATACCCCCTTTTTTATTTTTTTTAAGTCTTTAAAACTAACAGTCTGAGGGTGAGAATAGTTTGAGAGGGAAGATGGTGGCCCCAGAGGCTTTTCAGGGAGCAATTTGTGGGAAGGGGGCGTAAATTGAATATTTGGGGGTTTGAAGTGCTCTGCGGAGACTTGGGGGCTGGCCCTGGGATCTTTGGAGCTAAATGCAGTCACACTTTGCTTACCTCTTCTCATACTACTACTGGACTGTAACTCCCACAATTTCACACTGCTGGCAATCTTAGCCAGCCCTGATGGGAGTTGGGAGAGTCCAGCTTTATCTGGAAGGCCTAGCACTCTCCACACTGATCCACACAGATCATTACTAAAGCATAAAACTGGTGACTTCTGGAACGATCTAAGACAACATAAGCATATCTTAGCAGAAAAATGAGCCAGGGAAATGGCCAGAATCAAAAGTCTATAGTTCTGAGGTGCCGGCTTGACTGCCGAGAATCTTCCTCTCCTTGCAGGTTGTCTTGTGGTTTTTCCCCATTCAGCAAAGCCTTCTGCAGGCGGCTGGGCTTGCCAATGGCCAACCTTGGGAGACCACGATTAAGCCCTTCAAGCAGCACACATGCTTTACAGAGAGGCTGGCTGGAGAGATAGCTGCAACGCTGGCAAGTGCCCTGTGTGGGCATACGGATATCCCCACGCACTGCCAGCCGCTCACCAGAGTGTACCAGGTCGGCCACTGCGCTTGATCGTGTGGCTTCAAGGTCTTTCAGCAAGGTGCGGGCATGGCCCCGGTAGGCATTAGGGGCATAGACACACTCAGTGCTGAAGTAGTCTAAGCCTTGGAAGTACGCATACAGCACAATCTCTTTTTCGTAGGCATGCTTGAGTGGCTTACAGCGTGGCAATGCCCCTTCGCTACCTGTCAGGATCTCTGCACAGCGTCGAAGCCGCCCTACATCCCCCCGCAGGAAATTCATCAGCACTGTTTCAGCGACATCATCTGCATTATGACCTGGAAACAGAATAAAAAAGCAATAGATTTAATCAAACAGATAGCATACTCTTTTTGTTTTATCTTAGTATGTGCAGGCAGGAAATCCAAACCTTACATGAGGACAGAGTTTAGTGAAGTTACCAAGCTTCCACAATACCCCTGCTATCATAGCCGTTTTCCAAGCTCTGCTCCACAGCACAATTTAGATCAGACTCTACTGCAGAGCCAGAGAACTGTTTGTATATTTGTATATCTAATGTACTGTATATTCTGAAAAAGTATGTGCTATCACTAAGAAAGACAAGGGGAAAGTATATATATGGTCCTCCTAAGCAATTCAAAAGCAAAAGTAAATGATACCTTTATCGGTAGACACTAAGTTTTGATCAGAGTGGATAAATATCAATGAGTTTTTTTTAAAAAAAACTAACTTGATTTAAATAATTTTTATTTAAACTGTCAAAAATCCAATTTTAAAATCATTATTTAAATCAATTTGATTTAAATTAAATCTATCCTTTTAATTCCAGAAGATTTTTCATCAGGCTGTGCATTACAGACTTGGGTTGCACACCTGGCTATGGATTTTGGAACATTATTTCTACACCATCCTCACATCTACAATGCCCGCCTGATGAAGACTCGTAGGGAGTTGAAAGCTAGCTTCTGCTTACAGTATTTTAGTGTTTTCCCCCACTGTTCATGCCCAATAGGTCTTCAGTCACTGCCACATTCAGAATACACAACTACCAACAGCAATGCCAGTAAAATTAAACTATAACTACCCAGATGTTTATAAAGCTCCAAGACTGCTTTAGGCAGTGCCATTAAATTTAATAAAGCTAAATCCTTCAGTCTCAAGAGACTATGGCAATATGCTCTGAATAGAGGTCTTGGAACAGTGTCTAGTGTGGCTGAGAAGGCCAATTTGAGAGTGACAATCCCTTCCACACTGAAGACGAATACAGTATGTCCCCTGTCCAGCTCCCTGATTTTGCTGGTTTCAGGACTGCCTCTTTGCCTTGGCCTGCAGGACAAGTGTATCTTCAAATTGGGAGAGGCCATGCTACACTGCCTGCCTCCAGGCTGAATGCTCAGATATCAAGGTTTCCTATCTGTTGAGGTCCATTCCTAAGGCCTTCAAATCCCGCTTGCAGATATCCTTGTATCGCAGCTATGGTCTCCCTCTGGGGCACTTTCCCTGCACTAATTCTCCATACAGGAAACCTTTCGGAATCTGACCGTGAGCCATTCTCATGACATGTGCAAGCCAATGTAGATGTCGCTGTTTCAGTAAGGTATACATGCCAAGGCTCACTTCTCAGAATACCTACAAAGGACTGCCACAGCACTATATATTATCCCTAATCAGACTTATACCAGGGATGTGAAAGCTTTAACAATTAAAATGTCTGGAACTATAAATCCCATAATGCCCTACTAGTGGCCATGCTTGGTGGGGTTTATGCAGCAAAACATCTAAAAGGACAAGGTCCATATTCCTTCTTGGATCACTTTACAAATAAAAAAATTAACTGTAATTAATATATTAGCCTTGTTGAGTTTTCAGTAGATCACTGTTGCATGAGTTTCACTTTCTTCAAGCCCAGATGCTCTTAAAAGTTTGTATGAAAAGCACTGTACACGTTAGCACTCTGCAGATACTCAGAGACTTCTGTTTTGCTCTGCATACTCCCTAGGAATCCCAAATGGCCTTTCCACACATATTCCTGGTACAGTGATGTTCCCTCTGACTCCCCTCCCCATTTTTGAGCCCACCTGTGGCGATCTTATCTGCTCCAAGTAAAGCAGCACCTCTGTCGAGTGCCTGTCGTCGGAAGACACCACAAAAAGTACAGTTGTTCTTGGGTCCAATATGGTGAGCAATGCGGTCCATGCTCCACCCATACAGCTCCTGATAAGTGACTATGTGGAGCAGGAGGTCCAGCCGGCCCCGGTTGCGGCGGACAGCTGCCAGCGAGTCATCCCGGTAACCGGCAATGCCCTCATCCACAGAGAGCAGCAGGAGGTGCAAACCATAGTCGTGGCGCTCGTTCAGCAGCCGCAGTACATGAGCCAGCACTGTGGAGTCCTTGCCACCCGAGGCCCCAATGGCCACTGTCTCGCCTGGTTGGAAGAGCCGCGCTGCCACAATGGTGTTGTGCACCTCAGCCTCAAAGGCTGCTACAAAGCACTCCCGGCACAGCGCTTGGCCCGTCTTGGGCCGGCGAAGGGCAGCACGCTGAACCCCACAGCTCGAACATAGCACAGGTGCCGGCATTCTTGGAGGACAAGGAGGAAGCAAACTCACTCACTTGCTGCTTCCCCCCAAGGCTTCCCTTTGAAAGGTCCTAGGCCGGTGCTGTGCAAGCTGAGTGGACCCTGGCCGTGGGTCGAGGAAGAGGGGCCAAACAGAAGACTACAGTTCCCGGCATGTGTCCTCCTGGGCCAGCACGTTAGATGCCTTGTTTTTGCAGCACAAAACCAGTCCTCTATGCAACCTTGAAAACTGTTCAAGAGTCTCAGTACCATGGAGTTATATACAAACGCCAAAGATGTGTGTTTGCTCTTCTTGTGTCTGTAGTTTTCGATCCATGAATCTGTGCAAGCACATCAGACAAAACAAACACAAATAAAACCAAGAGACAAAAACAATGCAGTGTCTAAAAGGCTAACAGCAATATTTTAATATGTGCTCTCATGGATCAAGCCCATTTCCTCAAACATAACAGTGAGAGTAGACAACCGTCTTACTATATTATGGCTGAGGACCAGAAAAGCATTCCATAAGGAAAATTTTTAAAATATGGATGCTCTAAACAACAACAAAAATTCCATCCCTACAATTCCAATACCTTATTAAAATTACCAGCACAGAACTATTTTTCCCCATATATCTTTAATACACATAGATATGGCAAGATAGAAAGAAAAGTAATTAGCCCTGTTTGCAAATAAAATTACAGTATTAATAATTCCAAGTAGGAAAGGATTAAATTATAAACCCTCAATTTTTTCTTACTGCAAAGGTAAACGGATGTTTCAATGTTACTTTACAAAAGATATGGTGACATAAAGTATTCCAATAAAAATTAAAGGTATATCTGTACCTTCAAAATAGCAAGTCTAGCCTAAAGCACACAATTTACTGTGCATAATTAATACCAACTATGATTTTCATTTTTGTTCAACATTTAAATAATTGTAGACAATTATTTTTTTTCTAAAAGGGATTCCAGAATAAAAGCAATCATCGCATAAATACCACCCAACTACCATGTTTCCCCTAAAATAAAACAGGGTCTTATATTAAATTTTGCTTCCCAAAAATGCATTAGGACTTCTTTTCAGGGGTTGTTTTATTTTTTTTTTATGTACAACAATCTACATTGAGTCAAATACAGCCATGTCATAACCTACAATGGTAGAGGACGGGGTTTCACTTAACAATCTACAATGGTAGATTAACTGGGGCTTATTTTGGGGGTAAGGCTTATATTAGGAACATCATGAAAATCATACTAGGGCTTATTTTCAGGTTAGGGCTTATTTTGGGGGAAACAGGGTAAGCAGGACCTCGACAGACTTATACTGAAAACTATACCCACGAGCGAAAAGCAAAAACCTAGAAAAATGTGTTTTTTCTCAGACAGAAGAGAAAACTAGTCACAGGCACTTATTCCTTGCGATGGGCACATATACATCCTCAATACAGTAAATTTTACCCCATACTGTACTTCTAGGACCGCTAGAAAAGTAAAGGCGGGAGGAGACTCTGTCCATCACTGCATTCCGAGACAACCCTTATAATTTAGCCATTGAATAGGAGGGGATTAAAGAGGGAGACCCTCCTCCCTTGGAGACCCCAGCGATCCACCTAGCGTCCCACTTTTTTTTCGTGAAGGCGAATACGGGGGGGGGGACGACACAAAGGAAGTGAACGAGGCGCCACTGCGCAGTCTCCTTCCTCCTCCCCCCCCCCGGAGACGGTCCCTCAGGCCCGCCTCCTCAGCTCCACGTCACGGATCCTCGCCGGCATCTCCGTCCCCGGCGGCTCCAGGCCTGGCCGGCCAATTTCCTCCAAGAGACCAAAGGAATCCATTGGAACCAAACCCGCTAGCCCCTCCCACCGCTCGAAAAGCTGAGGGCCGCCCCAAACACGTTCTTCTCACCCGCGGCAGTAGGCGCTTGAGGAAGCCTCGGCCACCCCTTGTTCGCTCAGCTCCGCCTGCAACTACCAGAACCCGGTGCGAGGCCCAGTCCAGCTTCGGCGTCCGCCCTCTGCGCCGGGCCGAGCCGAGTGCAGGGAGGCCGCGAATCACGTGACCCTGCAGCCGCGGAGCGCCTCGGCAGGGGCCGGCGGCACGTGACCTCGAGCCTCGCCCTCCTCCCTTTCCTCTTCTTCCTCTGCATGCTGCCGCCCCTTGAAGAGAGGAAGGGGGGGGAAAGGAGCTCTTAAAGGGGCGCGTCGTCTCCCAGGCCTTGGAGTGATCACGCAGGTGCATCGCGCTGTTTACCCATACCTGGCGTCGGACAATGGGACGGCGGGGCGGGGTTACTCCTTCAAATGAGATGGTTAGCCCAGCTTTTCTTGCGATGCTGCAGCAAGAAGGTCTAATGCGATCCTCCGATGTTTCTGTTGTTAGAGAGCGTTTGTTTAAGTTAGTATTGTTTCCATGCTTCTTAAATAGCTTTTAAATATCTATATTTGAAAAGGGAAAACAGCTTAGCTGTATGTTTTTCTTTTACAAATATAATGTAATATATTCTGTTTTTTTCAGTGCAGCATATTATTAAAAAATCAAATCAAATCATAGCCTTCCATTCTTCCTGTGTATACTACACTGTGTAGCTTATTTATTATTTATGTCACATTTTGTTTTATTTTCTATCAGCTAACAGGAGATAACAGATAGTTGGAAGAACTGAAGCCTATGGTTTATCTACTTTAAGACGTTGATATTTTCTTGAAAAGGGGGAACATGCATACAGTTTATAGAAAGTGAAAATGGTACAAAAATGTTTACATTTTCAATAAAGCCATTAAAAATAATGTATCTCATCTATGAGAGAAGTTAAGTGTTGTAGTCATTGACTCAATGGGATTTCCTTCTGAGCAGACTTGTATGGATTGCACTGCAGATTACTTTTCACTGTTTATAGCAGAGCTGGAGTAAGCATGCCGTAGCATTACTGGATTGCAGCTATCAGTCCTGAACAGAATGGAGCAATACAAGAAGACTAGGAGGGCTGTATTTTGCAGATTCCATACATATTCCAAGATACAAAAATTATTTGCTAATATTCCCCCCACAAGCTTGAATAAGAATAGAGAGAGATAGTGTTGTTTCCACCATAATTCAGAATGTTGTGTAGCAATTAACAATCCTTTTAGGGAGCTCTGGTTACAGTATTGCCAGAGATAGTTCATATATACACATTAACACTGAAAGGAGTAGGGGAGAATTCATATACTGTACTGTCTTATAGCAGTTTATATTATATGTACATTCATTATTGCATGCTTCTGTTCATTGAAGAAGATTAGATTAAATGTTTAATTACTGCAGCCATATTAAAAGCAAGGTAACATTTTCTTAAAATTGGATACTATTAAAATAAGAAAGGTACAGTTAGGTTGAATTATAGTTGTACAGTAAATGGGAAATGAATCTGGACCAACTACTGTGTCGCAGGAACACTTACAGATTGGGAAATGTGTTTTGAGACTTCTTCATTCATGTCAAAGGCAATCCTGTAGTGCTTCTGGAGCAGAAGAATCAGCCAACTAGGTGCTGCCATTGCTCTACTGGGCAGCTCTTTCCATTTCCCGTTTTGAAGCTAATTATTAATATCAGTATGAAAGAAAATAATTATGTTTAATTTATTCAGAATTTCTTTAGGAAGTGCAGTGCATGTTTACTTTCACTCTCAGCAAAATGTGCAGAAAACTGTATTTTAAAATATGTAGTGCATAGATAATTTGTAGTACCATTATCTTATACCTGTCAAGTCCGATGTAAATTGTGTTGAGTTCATTGGGAGGTACTTTCAGATAAGTGGGTAGCATACGGCTGCCCTTAAAACACTTGTGATTGGGCTTTTTACACTCCAAATGCCTTCTTCCACTATGATTCTCTTGATCCAATTAGCATTTTGAAAACTCATTTTCTGTGTTATTTATGCTCTTCTCATTTGCCACATTTGAGGGTTACAGTCCACTTCCTCTGACAACTCTTGAAAATACCTGTTAAAATAAATACATTAACTCTATAAGATGCTTCAATATTTTTGCTTTTGTTCTTGTTTTATTTTTATTATGCACAACCCCAAAATGTGTACCTCTAGGATACCTGGAAAACATTATAGTACTCTCGATAACAAGCTTACATTGAAAGTTGAGATAACTGTGCCAGCACATAATAAATTCCAAAATTTATTATGATACCTTTATTAAACCAACCAAATAGTGGTTTAATACTGTTTCTTCATCAGGCAGGCCTCTGGGAATTGTGTTTAAAAATGTAACATTTCTAAGTCCTACCTAAAATTGAGCAGAGTAGGTGGGAAAGTTAAATCTTAAATCCTCATATGTACACAATTCAGCAAAAATGCTTTTTAAAAAAACAATCTTCACTAAGTCCGACAATCAGTTTCACCCTAGAATCTACAGTGCATTCTTAGACAGTTGAAATTCTATTAAAAATAACATTATAGTCATTATGTGTTTAGTTTCATCAGTTTAAAAATTCTGTGTGAAAAAGAACAGTATTCTTCTATGAACACCAAATTGAGTCAAATATTTTGACTCCCAGCTTAGCCAGTGATAGAGAATTACAGGTGTTATAACTCCAATACACATGGAGAGCCAAAAGCCTCACACTCCTGAACTAACTTTGTGCCATTGACATGGCCATGAAAGATCTCATGACACACAACACTTCTAAGGATGTTTTAAATCACATTATCGCTTGGAAGAAGCCCTTGATGAATAAGCCAAAGAAAGACGCCTGGTGTCTGCTTAGGGGTATCCTTAAGAAGCATGATTTTTTAAAAATTCTTTGTGTTTTATAGCAGGCCAGGCAACCTCTGGGGCTGGGAACTCTTGTTTCTCACCCATCTCCAATGTTTGGTAGGCTGCATCAAAGACTCTCAATTCTTCATATGTCTCAGAAACCTTGGGAGAACCATTTCCCATTTAAATACAATACATGCACCTTGGCTAGTCAAAAACTGGAAGTGACAGGCTGGTCACATACAGTTTCTTAAAAACTAACTCTGGATGAACAATGCAAAGAAATAGAGGAAAATAATAGAAAAGGAAAAACCAGAGATCTGTTCAGGCAAATCAGAGATATTAAAGGAACATTTTGTGCAAAGATGAACATGATAAAGGACAAAAATGGTGGGGACCTCACAGAAGCAGAAAACATCAAGAAGAGGTGGCAAGAATACACAGAGGAACTACACCAGAAAGATTTGGATATCCCGGACAACCCAGATAGTGTGGTTGCTGACCTTGAGCTAGGCATCCTGGAGAGTGAAGTCAAGTGGGCCTTAGAAAGCTTGTCTAACAACAAGGCCAGTGGAGGCGATGGCATTCCAGTGGAACTATTTAAAATCTTAAAAGATGACGCTGTTAAAGTGTTACATTTAATATGCCAGCATGTTTGGAAAACTCAACAGCGGCCAGAGGACTGGAAAAGATCAATCTACATCCCAATCCCAGAAGTCCAAGCTGGATTTCGAAGGGGCAGAGGAACTAGGGACCAAATTGCTAATATGTGCTGGATTATGGAGAAAGCCAGAGAGTTCCAGAACAACATCTACTTCTGCTTCATTGACTATGTAAAAGCCTTTGACTGTGTGGACCACAGCAAACTATGGCAAGTCCTTAAAGAAATGGGAGTGCCTGATCACCTTATCTACCTCCTCAGAAACCTATATGTGGGACAGATAGCAACAGTTAGAATTGGATATGGAAACACTGATTGGTTCAAAATTGGGAAAGGAGTACGACAAAGCTGTATATTGTCCACCTGCTTATTTAACATATGCAGAATACATCATGCAAAAGGCTGGACTGGAGGAATCCCAAGGCGGAATCTAGATTGCCGGAAGAAATGTCAACAACCTCCGATATGCAGATGATACCACTCTGATGGCAGAAAGTGAGGAGGAATTAAGGAACCTTGTAATGAGGGTGAAAGAGGAGAGTGCAAAAAACGGTCTGAAACTCAACATCAAAAAAACTAAGATCATGGCCACTGGTCCCATCACCTCCTGGGAAATAGAAGGGGAAGATATGGAGGCAGTGACAGATTTCAGTTTCTTGGTCTCCATGATCACTGCAGATGGAGACAGCAGCCACGAAATTAAAAGATGCCTGCTTCTTGGGAGGAAACCGATGACAAACCTCGATAGCATCTTAAAAAGCAGAGACATCACCTTGCCAACAAAAGTCCGAATAGTCAAAGCTATGGTTTTCCCTGTAGTGATGTACAGAAGTGAGAGCTGGACCATAAAGAAAGCTGACCGCCGAAGAATTGATGCTTTTGAATTGTGGTGTTGGAGGATGCTCTTGAGAGTCCCCTGGACTGCAAGGAGAACAAACCTGTCCATTCTAAAGGAAATCAAGCCTGAGTGCTCACTGGAAGAACAGATCCTGAAGCTGAGGCTCCAATACTTTGGCCATCTCATGAAAAGAGCCCTTGGAAAAGACCTGGATGTTGGGAAAGTGTGAAGGCAGGAGGAGAAGGGGACGACAGAGGATGAGATGGTTGGACAGTGTCATCGAAACTACCAACGTGAATTTGACCCAACTCCAGGAGGTAGTGGAAGACAGGAGGGCCTGGCGTCCTCTGGTCCATGGGGTCACGAAGAGTCGGACACGACTAAATGACAAAACAACAACAACAAAAAGGCAAAAGTACATTTAAATGAAATATTTTATCTCTTGTAGATTTTATGGTGCAATTGATGGGGGGAGGGTGTTTGACCACATACTGGGGCCTCCAGGACCTCCTGGAAGATCTTAAAAAGCAGATGGAGTTGTATCATCATTACACTAGTGGTACCAGGCCACAAAATTCTGAACAGCCTCTTTCAGGTTTTTCATGTTTATGGGAAATAGCATGGGGAATGGTGGAACCCCAAGACACCCCACAGGTTGATGGTCAAGGTGTTGAACAGGAGTCCCCCAGCACCACTAGCATTCACAAAGTGATATCAAGTAAGGGAAAATCTCAGAAGCTGGCTCCTTTTTTTCATCAGTTAACCACTTCTCACCCAAACACAAAGCAATTGTCAGGGCTGTTTTTCAATAAGTGTGAAAGGTAGACCATGTTGACTGCTGCCATTGGTGTTGTCAACATTCAAACTGCCCTTTGCTATGTAAAGCTTG